GGTTTTCCTACATGGGTGATCTCATCCTTGATGCAGTCTGGAAGTCCACTATAAAAGTGGTGGTGGAGTGCACCAACACTGTAGTCTTTGACCTGTGAAGCCCAGTGATTGAACTCCATGACATATTTGGTAGTTTGAGAACCATCTTTCATAGTGAGGTTTTCAAGTTGTTGGACAGCATCCACTATGGCATCATGTGGACCAAAATTAGTTGTGAGCTCTTGTAAGAACTTGTGATAGTTGTCCATCCAGAGCAGGTGGTCATAATTGTCGGGGTTTAGTAGGTCTGGCTCAAACCAAGCCAGAGCCATACCCTTAAGATAAGACTGAGCAAAGGTAACCTTCACTCTGTTGGAGCAGAATGTGTGGGGGTGGTCTTGGAAGTTCAGCTCGCATTGTATGAGGAACTTGTGGAGTTTCTTAGGGTTGGAGCTGTCAAAAGTGTCAGGCTCACAGACTTTGGTTGTCAGAGTGGAGTCCCCAGTGTGCAAACTAGACTGCACAATTGCATGGACAGCTCTAGCAAGAGCTATGAGGGGATCCTCTGGCAGCTCAGCCAGGTCTTCAGGGATATCCCTGTCACTGCTGCCCCTGCCATCAGGATCACCATCAGGGTCATCAGGGTTGGGGTTGGGTCCATTGTCTCAGTTACAAGGAGATGGAGTATGGAAAGTGGTTGGGTGGAGGTCAGAGCAACCAGCTTGCAAAGCACTTTCACCTTCAGCACAAGAGTGGCATCAAGTGGAGAATGATTGGAACTGTTTGATGATGGAAGGGAGTTGATGCAGATTAGCTAGTGCAACAGTGAGGTTCTCAGTGACCTCTCTCTGGGATTGAGCTCAAGTTCTCATAATGGTGTAAGTTTTTTGGAAGACAGAAAACAAGATTGTACAAGTGTGAGTACAAATATACTGTCAAGTCTGGGCCTACTCTGACCAACTCCAACACTTGGCAAGGGCTGGGGAGGGGTTTGGAAGCAAGTCCAAAAGAAAGAACTGAACTCTGACTGGCACAGTGTTGGCAGGAATGAAGTCCACCAAGACAAAGGTGGAGCAGAGTGAGAGCATTGGGTTTGGCTTGTGTGCTACCCCCTTTGCATGATCTCAGCCCTCATATGTCAGGGGAGAGAAATAGATTGAAAATCAGAGATAACTCTGACAGGCAGAAGATGGAGACAGAGGGAGTAGGAACTCAGTTGATATTTGTACTGAGGAATGGCAGAGTATGATACATGCTTTTTTATACTACTGTGGAGGTACAGTAACCAGAATCAGAACTGACATACAGAGACCCAGAAATTTTCAAGTAAAACTTCCTAGATGACAAATGAAGGGTAGACAGAGGACATATGAACAGGTAACATAGAACATCCAGAAAAGGAAACAGTCCAGGTGCTGGACCATGCAGTGTGCATGCTGCAGAGTACCTGACTGTGTGATGTCAGGGAGGAGTCCAAAGGTAGTCACATGACCCCTCAGAGAACAGTCCATTTGGTCTGGCAGGAGAGCAACACAAGTCCAACAGCCATTGGAGCAGAGATGGCTCATACCTGACAGAAGTTGGGTGGAGTTGGTGCAGAGTGAGTGAATGACCAGTGGAAGAGGGTGTGGAGTGAGTCAGGACTTAGAGTGAACACACAGTTGTGACACAACCCTTTAGTATCTTGTATTACCCTCTGACCCCCTGACCAGACTCCAGACTGGCTTTAGACCAGTAAAGACCCAGACTTAACACACATTAGGGTACAAAGCTGACTAAACAATTGCCTTTTCCTACTGTAGGGGGTGGCATTCATTGCTACATGGGCTACTTCATCTACTACTTATTTGATTACACAAATTGGTGGTATTGTGCAGCCCTAGAGTGCACTTTTCAATTACCAAGGAAGTGTAGTTGATTAGGGAAATTGGCTAATTGGCTGATGATTTACTGCCAATTTGATTACCACAAGTGGGTTCAGTTCCTAAGAGGGGGATACTGTCACATTCCTGACTCTTGGACTCAAGCCTGGACCAGTCCAGGCCCTAGCCCCTATCTCCAGTCAAGTCTGGACCTACTTCAGCCTGGCTAACTCAACTCTGGCCCTAAATAACTCAACTCCAGCCCAGATAACTCACATCCAATGCTTTACCCCTATCTCCAGTCCACTCTGGCCTCTCAGCTTTGTGCTGCTCCACCCTGGTCCTCCAAGGTCTATGTCCAGGTAAACAAGGACATAACTCCAGTCTGTTTTCCTTTGTCTGTTCTATATCTAGTCTAGTTCCCTTTTTGTGTTCCTCACCATTGCTTACAATACTAAACCTGTGTCTGACTCTGTGAAGTATGGATTTACCCTTGGGTGACTGGGCTTCAAGACTGGGTGTCAGGGGCTAAGTCCAGGTGACCAGAGTCAAGGCCAGGAGACAGGGGCCAAGTCCAGTTGGACTGGAGTTAAGGCCAGGGGTCAGAGGTTAAGTCCAGAGGTCTGGACTTAAGACCAGGAGTGTGGGAATAAGACCAGTAGCATGGCAAAGTGACTGGTCTTGGAGTGCACACAGGGGGAAGCCAGTTCAGGGTTGGATCTACCTCCCTTGGTCTCAGCTTATGTGCTGTACCCTTATGCAAGCAGGGGAGAGGTCCAGGACAGGGGCCAGGGATAGCTTAAGGCTTGGCCTTTGCTATTGAGTAGACTTGAGGGGTAATATGGAGTTGAGGGTAATTGTCAAAGTTGCACAACACCCCTGACTTCCTCTTAGGGCAGAGTAGGAGCAGGTTGGGCTGCAGAGTACAGTGGTCAAAGTCTGAAGTGAATCTGACCACTGGGTGGTGAGATATGTGATGAACAAGGAGCAGAGGAGTATGGAGGAAAGTTTTGGAGACAGGTGTTGGAGTCAGAGGTTGGAGGTTAGATGAGAGAGTGTTGGGTTTAGCTAGTGCACTGCCCCTTGTGCAAGCTCAGCCCTTGTATTTCAGAGGTAGAGTGGACTCAGAGGAGTGGAGATGAAACTCTGGAGGGAACTCAGAGGGAGTCAGAAGTGGGAACTTTACTATCAATATTTATACTGATTACATCAGAGTACTATGCAGCCTTATATACAATGTAGGTCAAGGGCAGGCAGTGTAGAATGCAAGCCAATAAACATATAACAGGTTAGCAGTACCTCTGACACAAGGGATAGAGGATAGGGATGATGGGGACCTTTACTGAAAGGGAACTACTACAATGAGGGAGAGAGGGTAAATACCAAAGGAGTCAAAGAATGGAGAAAAACTGACACAAGGGCAGAATCCTATCTGGAATGCAGGGCTGCAAGTCTGACAGCCCACTGAGCCCACCAAGGCCTCAGAGGAGGCACAGATGAAGGTCTGGCCTCCATGAGTGGAGTTGAGCGGATTTGGTCAGAACATGGACAGGGGACCCCAGAGAGGTGTGCAGATGTGTTGGGGGGGTCAGAGGAGCATGGGAATGCATTGGAAGAGGGCAGAGAAAGGTTCCCAGGGTGTGGAAGAGGGTGAAGTAGATGTTAGGGGGATTATGTTGGTGTCATGGTCATGGCAGTAATACTGAGTTGATATTCTGACTGGAGTGCTATGAAGTATGTACATGGGTTAAATACATGAGGCCAGTCTGGGGTAACAAACATAAAGCTGGACTTGTTGATAAGCTATTAGGAAGATGATTAGCAAGAGAGGATAGCCACAGAGGCTGTGCTGAGACTGATAGTCAAAGTCTGGGTGACTGGCATAACTGGAGTCAGACACAGGTTTCATACCATAAGCAAGATCAGCAAAGGGGACTAGACTAAATATAGTACAAGCAATGGAAAACAGACTGGAGTTATGTCCAGGTGACCTGGACATGGACCTGGGAGGACCAGGGTGGAGCAGTGCAAGGCCAGGAGGCTGGAGTGGACTGGAGATAGGTGTAAAACACCAGACTTGAGTTATCTAGGCAAGAGTTGGGTTATCTAGGACCAGAGTTGTGTTGTCTGGGCTGAACTAGGACCAGACTTGACCAGAGATAGGGGCTAGGGGTCCGGACTGGACTGGGCTTGAGTCTGAGAGTCATGGATATGACAAACTTCAGTTATGTCAGTCACCCAGCCTTTGACTATTAGTCTTCCCACAGCCATTCTGGCTGTCCTCTCTTGCTAATCATCTTCCTAATAGCTTATCAACCAATCCAACTTTATGTTCATTACTCCAGACTGGCCTTGTGTATTTAACTCCTGCACTTACTTCATAACACCCCAGTCAGAATATCAACTAAGTATTACCCTCAACTCTGTATGTATTATCTTCTGAGTCTTCAATAGCAAAGGCTGAGCCTTAGCTATCCACTTCCCCTGTCCCAGACTGTAAGGTTATATGTGGGTTGTCTCAAGCTCATGCACATGAAGTGTACTGTATGGTATTCACACAGTAAGATGCAGAGACAAAAAGATGTATCTCTAAAATTTTTGAGACAATATTTATATATGAGGAGGCATGTGATACCTTGGTATCACATGCCCATACTAAGTAGTTCCTATTTTTGGGGAATAACCCCTAACACCCTGCCCTGCAGACCCAACCCAGGCTCAGAAAGTAAAGAAAAAGGAGAAAAGAAAGAGATGTGAAGAAAAGGGAAAGGTGACAATTTGTGCAAAGGTTAGGCTTCATGAACTAACACTTTGAGGGTTAGGCCTCAAAGTCCAAATGTAGAGAAAGGGTGTTGAACCCAATCCTTCAATCAGAGAGTTGAGTCTCCAGAGGGAACACTCCCTCACATTTTTGACCTATCCTCATCCTTGAACAGGTCATCAGTCATTTTGCCCTCCTCAGGCTCAGAGTCTTTAGCAGGGGGATTTCCCCTGACAGTGGATGCTCCCCCATGAGGACAGTGGGGAAGTCATAGATAAATGCCACAGAGGTGAATGTGGAGATGATCTGCTGATCATCAGCCCATAAGGGCGTGTGACCTGGAGGGACCTGGTTGATGGTGCAACCAATGGCTTGAGCCTGATGCTTGTACCACTCCCTCAATCTGACATTGCTTGGGGGGCAAGGTTTGGCAAAAGCTTCTTCAGGGGCTCAATTTTTGCCATGACCTGAGGGTTATTCTCCCCTCCATTTGCAACAATACCATTGACATACTCTTGACCTGCTTGTTGAACCCATTGCAGTGCATCATCAGTGTCATATATGCTGACCCCATTAGCAGCAAGATACACTGCAATCAAGGCCCTATCAGCTGAGGTGGTGAACTCACTGTCCCAGGGATGTGAAGTGCCTTTGACTGGGCTGACTTCTGCCCAGTTGAGGAGGGACTGATATTGTCCCCTTACCACAAGTAGGCAAGCCAACTTGCACATCCAGACATTTTGAGCCCTATGGCTCCAGGGAACTGGTGCCAGGTGCTCATAGAGGAGGAACCCTTGTACATTGTGCAGAGATGGAGGATCAGCCTCTGAATTGGAGTCATCTGGCCTGCTAGATGTCCCCAGTACCCCTGGGAGCATGGCCACAAGTGTGGACTCACTGTCTTTGCCCCAGCAAGGGCACCTCTGTTCTTTGTCAATGAACTCCCTCCAAGCTTCAACAGAGCTGTCAAGGGGAGGGGCATTTGATGGTAGCTTGGGGATACCCCTAGACTTCCCAGCAGAGGGCTTGGCCCCTTTTGCCTTGCAAGGAGGTTGTGTCCTCATGGAGGACTGAGTTTGGGAACTCAGCCCAGGCCTTTGTTCAGAGACCTGTTGAGTCTCATGTGGTTGAACTGCTATGTGGTCGATGAGAGCAGGGGCAGGAGTTGATCCTACATTGGGTGCTGGAGTCAAGCCCAAAGGAGCATCTGCTACCCACTCCTGCAGCACTGGAGCACCTCCAGAGGGGCCAGACATAGGTGGGGGTATCCCCACAGCAGATGCTTGCCCCTCCTCCCCTTGGGGTCAGACTGCCTTCCCCTTTTCTTTGAGAGCCTCTCTCCTCTTGTGAGATTTCTTGGAAGACCATGCAGGGGGCTTCCATTTGCTCAGTGCAAGGGTTATGACCTCATTCAACCCCAACTTGCATCTTTTCCACAAGTTGAGGTAAGTTATAAGGTCCTGTGCCTTTCAGACACAGGGAGCCTTATCTTCTGGCTCCTTTAATGCTCTCACATAGAGCTGGTGGATATCATCCATGGTGTTGAAGAGGGCAATGGGCCACAGGATGCTTCCTTCAAATTGTATGGCCCAGCCATATGGTCTCTTGCCCACTAATGTGTTGCATCACTATGGGCATATATCTGTATTTCAGTTTGAATGGGGCAAACCCCATAGAGCTGTTGATGCTTGAGTTTATTGCAAACTTGACCATTGGCAGCTTCAACACCCAGTCCCTCTGGTCTGGATGGACCATCAACCATAGCATCTGTGCTACATTGCATATGGCTCATTTGGACATGCTGTCTGTCTGCAGGTGAAATGCAGTTGACATTAGGAGCTTTGCTCCTAGCATTCTGTGCATCTCACACCAGAATGTCAATGTAAATTTTGTGTCTCTGGTAGCCCATACAAGCAGGCTACTTCTTTTATGAATATCCATGTGAGTTCCAGAGCTTGCACCTGGGACTACCAACAGGTAGTCATACCCTTTGCTCAGTGGGAATGGTCCCACAAAGTCCATTGCTATCAACCCCCATGGTTGTCTTGGCACAGGTAGATTGTGCAGTAATCCTGGAGGCCACTGATTGTTGGCCTTTGTTGTCTGACATATGGGGCAGGTTCTACAGAACCTGTCCACTTCTCAACTGAGTTTTGGCCACCAGCACCACCTGTGGATGTAATCCACTGTTCTCTTGGATCTGAAATGTCCCAGCATCCTGTGCACCTGGTCTATGACCTGTGCAATTATGACATTGCTCTTGTACTTTGTGTTGATGCACATTAAGTATATTTCTTACACCAGTAATATCTTACATAAGCACAGTCATTTTGGCACATTGTTTTTCCATCATGCACCTCAGTCTTCTCCCAATAGAAGCCTGAGGTGAGGTTCCTTTATTATGAGTTACAGCTATCTTACTGAAGCTATTTAGTATCCTCTCTTATTAGGTTAGTTGTACCTCAGTCTTCTCCCAATAGAAGCCTGAGTATCTTCTCTTATTAGTCTGTCACTACTCAGAAACACCCCTTCAGAACTTTGCATGTGGAAGGCACAGTATTTCCTCTCCACCATGATTTTTCATGTAAAGCAAACTGTCTCTCTCCTCAAATTGAGGGTGATATGACAGTTGTGCTAGTATCTTCATGAGCATAGGCTCATTCTTGTATCCCTTACAGATGGCATCCAGGAATTCTGCTGCATCTCCATAGGTTATTGGTGAGGTTTGTGAGGCCTCAGCAGATTCAAATATCAATGGATCCTCCTCTGCAATTGTGAGAGGTGGTTCCTTGTCATTCCTTTCTGCAGCAAAGGCCATCTCCTGAGCCTCCAGGATGTGGTTCTCCCATTTTTCCTTCAGCTGGTTACTCTTACAAAGAGTTCCTCCCTGCTCTTCCATTGCTGATATTCTCATCAGAGACATTGTCTCCTCCTTCCCCCTCATAGTAACAGGATAGGCAATCTGCCACTCAGTTCTCTGAGCCTTTGGCATATACTATGTTCACCTCAAAGTGCAACATATAATCTATCCACCAGACCTGTTGGCTTGACAGTTTTCATTGGGTTTTGAGGTATCCCAGGGCCTCATGGTCCGTCACTATTGTGAATTTAAACCCAAGGAGTTTATCCTCCCATTTCAGTAAAGCTTCAATTATTGCAAGGGTCTCTCACTCAAAGGTCCTATAGTTTTATTGAGCATTGCTCAGCTTTTTTGACATGAAGCCTGCTGGTTGGCAGGTTTTCCATTTGGGTCCTTGTCATATCCATGACTCTCAGACTCAATCCTGGTCCAGTCCAGACCCCTAGCCCCTAACTCCGGTCAGGTCAGGTCCTAGTCTGGCCCAGAAAACCCAACTCTGGCCCTAGGAAACCCAACTCTGGCCTAAATAACTTGAGTCCAGTGTTTTACCCCTATCTCCGGTCCATTCCAGCCTCCTGGCCTTGCACTGCTCCACCCCAGTCCTCCCAGGTCCATGTCTGGGTCATCTGGACATAGCTCTGGTCTGTTTTCCGATGTTTGTACTATATTTGATCTAGCCTGCTTGTCTGAACTTTGCTTACTGTACAAACCTGTGTCCAAACCCAGTTATGCTGGTCACCTGGACTTTGACTATTAGCCTTGGCACAGCCCCTATGGCTGTCCACACTCTTGCTAATCATCTTGCTAATAGCTTATTCACAAGTCTGGCTTCATGTTCATTATCCCAGACTGGCCTTGTGTATTTAACCCATGTACATACTTCATAGCACTCCAGTATTACCCTCAACTCTGTACTACACTCCAAGTCTACTCTATAGCTAAGGCCAAGCCTTAAGCTATCCCTGGCCCCTGTCCTGGACCTCTCCCCAGCTTGCATAAGGGTACATCACATAAGCTGAGACCAAGGGAGGTAGATCCAACCCTGGACTGGCTTCCCCCTGTGTGCACTCCAAGACCAGTCTGTCTCCCACACTACCAGCCTTGTTCCTGTGCTCCCAGTCTTAAGTCCAGTCCTCCAGACTTAACCCCTGACCTCCAGCCCTAACTCCAGTCCAACCAGACTGGGCCCCTGTCTCCCAGCCCTAACTTTGGTCACCCAAACTTAGCCCCTGTCACCTGATCTTGAAGCCCAGTCACCTGAGCATAAACCTGCACTTAACAGTCCTTGCCTGTACAGTGCACCTACTCTGTAGAGTGATGCATCACAGATGAGCCATATTGGCTCTTCCTTCCTTGGGTCTATTGGCCACAGTACTGGGTACTTGCAAGCCAGGTCCTTAATGAAGCATCAGTTGTGGATTTCCCTCCACAGGAATGGATGTCCATTCCTTTGTATCCCAGTTAGTGGCATTGTGTATGGTGAGATATCTGGCATAAACTGTGCCAGGTATTCTATGAGACCAATGAACTGTTGAACCTTGTTGAGTGACTTAGGTACTCTCCAGTTCCTAATTCAAGACATCTTGTCTCTATCTGCATGCATGCCCTTGGTGTTGATTATGTGCCCAAGGCAGTCGAGTTTCTTGGCATATAAGTCACACTTCTCCCTTTCAAGAAAGAAGTTGGCCTGACATAGTGTTTCAAACACTGGAGGTGCTGCTCATGCTCCTCCAGTGTATTGCTGTAGATGAATATATTGTCAAGGTAGATGTATACAAAATGTCCTATGTGATCTCTGAAGATCACAGTCATAAGGCATTGAAATATCACAGGGGCATTACAATCCCCCTGCTGCATGACTTGGCTTATAAAAGTGCTGTAAATTGTTGAGAAGGCTGTCTTCCAGACATCTTCAGGCTCAACACATACCTGTTTGTATGCATTTGACAAGTCAATCTTTGAGTGATGCTTTGCTCTTGCAATGTCCATCCTGATCTGGTCCTGATCAGGGAAGGGGTTACATCCCTTATTGTGTTTTCATTTCTTTTATGACAGTCAATGACTGTTTGTAGTTTGCCATTCTTTGGTATACACAGCATAGGTGTGGCTTGTGGGATGCTTTTCAGCACCCACCACTCTGCATCTGTGTACTGACAGATTTTATCTGACAGCTGTTGCTTCAGCACATCAACACAATGAGGCAAGTGGTATGAGTACCGCTTGTCCTTATTGATCATTGGAATCCTGTGGTTTACCCCCCACAAGGGAGGTAATTTTGGTTTGACACCTTCAAACCTTCATCTAAACTTTTTGAACCATCACTCCCTTAGGTGAGGTATATCTTTATCCCCCAACACTCTTTTTTGTATTGGTTTTATTACTGTGAGTGTAGGCTCACTTTTCAACTCTAACCACCCTCCCCCCTGCAAGCCCTCACAAGGCTGTGACAGCCTTGCAGGGCATGTCAGTCATTTGCTCAAGGAGGTAGTGGTGTTAGGGGGACATGGGTGCCCCTCTCTGGCGACCTCAGGCTCTGTGAGCATGAAAACCTTCTCACCTGCAATCATCATTGACTTTTCAGCAAAGTTGAGCACTACTTTATGCTGCCTAAGGAATGGGATTCCTAGAATACAGTGGTAGCAATTGATATTAGCCACATTGAAATAACAGTCAGTCTGATAGTGGCCCATCTTTATCATGGAGGGTCCTCCATGTGTAATTTTTGATCAGCTACCTATGCAGCCCAATTGCAGTGTAAGCTGCTGATCAAGTGGAAACACTTTCATCTTCATGACCTTGGCAAATGCTGGGCTCACAAAATTCCAGTGCTTCTGGTGTCAATCATCATGTAGGCTTTACAGCTATTTATGACAGTATCTATGTATATCCAACCCCAGACCAGCTTCCCCCTGTGTGTGCTCTTAGACTGGTCAGTTTCCCATGCTATGCTACCAGACTTGTTTCTGCACTCCTGGTCTTGACTCTGGACCACTGGACTTGGCCCCTGTCACCCAGACTTGAAGCCTGGTCACTTGAGGGTAAACCCATACTTGACAAGAAGGCATTAAGGTAGAAGTCATCATAAAGTTCCCATGAAGTCTCTGATGTGACACCCTGATTGACCATTTCTCCATATTTTGGTATGAGTTCAACTGCCTGTATAACATCCAATATTGGAATAATCATACTAACTCTGGACCAATTACCATTAGGATCAATGTTGAACATACAACAGACAGTGTACATTCCAATCTCAGGCTGGTCAGATGGTGTTGTTGTATATTCTGCCTTTCACATTATGCTTTCATCCACATAGTATTATGGTACACATTTAGCCATATTACATAATCATGTTTGTTTTTGTACTCAAGTAGCATAGTCACACCTCAGTTGGCTACTTAACCCAACTGAGGTGGGCACTTTCCACATTCTGTCCTTACACTCTGCTAATAGTCCTGTAGTATATATTCTACAGGTGTTGCCACAAAGGAAATACACTGGACATGGAGCAGTGGGTAAGAAAGGTCAGAGAGGAGGGCATTGCCTCTTGCAGTGAAATGATGAATGCCAACACACTTGTGATGACAGTGATAATGTGCATCTAGTTCATCATCTCCCAGTACCCACTTGCACCATTTAAGAACATGGTTGAAGAACCACTTGTGACAGGAATGAAGGATTTCACTGGCAAGGAAATTTGCAGGATTTGAAAAGTGCCTGCCTCACCAAAAGGGAAGCTGAACACCAGCAAGGTGACACTTCTTGGCCACAACTTGGAATTCCCAGATCTTCCAAGGATCTATATGCTCACTGGCAGGCAAGCATATGTCATGCAATGTCTTCAGTGTGAGCTGGCCATTGTAAAGTGTATGTCGAAATGCATCACCAAACTGGCTCTGTATAGCAGTGGTAATGGGCAACTTAGCAGACCTGGCAATACAGGTTGTCAACAAGTGACAAGGTTACATAAGAGGCCAGCAGACAAACCTCTGATGAACCTTAGATGAACCTTAGATGAACTGGCCTTTTTTCCTGCACTTCTGTTTATGACAGGTTATGTATCACCATTAGTATCTTTTCTTACCCCTTGTTCCTTGTTCTTATGAGCTTGTTTTCACATATATATACTTCACCTCTCTCACTTACAAAACCCTCAGTCATCTTGCCCATACTCAGGCAGTGGATGAGTTATTTCCTACTTAGTTTTTGTCAGGTTATGAGCCCCAAGGGCACATCCTAGCTCCTCACACAACACCAGATGACTCACACCCCCCATAATTTTCCCCACCCTGAAAATCCTTTGGCTTGCCAACCTACCAGCATAACAGGCACCCAAGCTTCACTACTTGAGATGTCAGCTACTACTAGCACCACTGCACTGACTTGCCCATACTAACAGGGCCAAACAATTATGAGATTTGGAAACTCTGAATCATTGTCCAACTTTGCCATGAAAAGGTCTTAGGGGTTGTACTAGGCACAGACCTCAAGCCTGGCTCAAGCCCAGTCACCAGTACCAGCACTGGCACATCTGCATCCAAGTCTGGCACAAACAACAGCATCCCCACTTCCACCCTGGACCCAGAGGAACTCTGGAAATGGACTGAATGCAATGAAATGGCACATGTCATCATACAAGATCAACTATCAGATGACCTCCTCATCAAAACCCAAAAACACACCACAGCAAAGTCCCTATATGATGTGCTGTTAGTGCTACATGAAGACTCAAACCTTGCCAGTGCCTACTATCTGTACTGGCAATTACTAGACTCCACCTGGGATGGCACAACCAGCATATCTGACCACATTGCTGGTATGAGGACCACAGAATCCCAGCTTGCCAGCATGAAGTTTGCTATTGACACCAAACTACTTGCATTCACTTTACTCAATTCACTACCAAAAACCCCAGAATGGAGCATGTTCACCTCTGCCATTATCAACACTGTTGAACCAGACAAATTGACCTTTGACATGGTAGAAACTTGCATCATGTCTGAGGCTGGCCAACTGACACTCTCTGGGGCAATGGAAACTGGCCTTAAGGCTCAAATAAAGGGGTCAACTGGAGACAAATGGTGTGAGCACCATCAAAGCTCTTGCCACAGCACTGACAACTGTTGGTCCTACCAAAAGTGGGTAAAGGAGCTGCAGAAGGGAAGGTCAGGTGGAGGACAAGCTAAGAAGGGCAAAAAGTCAAATATGGCTGAGATGCCACCAGACACCAATCCACTGGACTCTGCTCATGTAGCTACCACATTTGTGCTTACATATTGACTGAGCTGGCTCCTGGAAAAACCCCAAACATCATTATCAAATCTGGAGCCACATTGCACATGGCCCATCACTGGAAATGGTTCACTTCATTCAGGAAACTAAACCCTTGGTGATAGCTCTGCTGTTGAGGCCACTGTCATTGGTACAGTAACACTGCAAACCAAGGTTTCTGGCACAACAAATGATTTTATCCTCTCAGATGTCAGTTTTTTGACTTTAAGTTTTGATTACATAGTTTTGAGTTTAACAAAGTTTAAAATGCTGTGAGGTGCTTACTAATGCTTACATGGTATATCACATGGTCTATTTGATGATTTGTCATCATACAAACAATGCCAAACAATGAATTGGGACCATCAAGGCTCCCTCTTCTACCCCAACTCATGAAACCATCCTCCTGGTCCATTTGGGCCATTTTCTCAGAGTAATCCCCATAAATATTGGTGCCCACTACAGTAATGTCATCAGGGTATATGTACAACACAATCAAACCCTTAAAAAATCTGCTTTCAGTCATCCCTGTGCTGTTTCCCCCACCCATACCTGACATGTTCTGCAACTAATCAGTACTGAGAATGCTGAAAAAGCCATGATGGTTAATCTGGCACTCTAAAACATGACCAACAATCCAATCACCTCTTATCTGGTGGGTTTCCACCTCAAGGGTGCTGGGTTGAGGGCTAGGGTGAGCTGAAGACCTTCATTACAGTCCAGGTGCCCTGGGGGGGATAGTCCACTGAACTGCTAGGAAGGAGATTCCATCAATCCATCTGGGCCTGGGTATTACCTGTGGTCTTATATAACCAAATCACCCATTCCCAGTCATCCACAGTCAGCTGAGAGTGCAGTCTAGCCATGCTTCCCATGCCACCTGAAGTGCACAGGAATGTTTTGTCTCACCCCAGCATTGAAACTAATTGTACTGTGGTGAAAATGTACTGGTTAAAAGGTGTTTTGTTTGTTCATCATTTTCTGATGTGCCAGATTGACCTCCATGACATTTCCAGCTGTCTCAGTACTGATTAGGTGCAGAACATATCAGGTATGGGTGGGGGAAACAGCACAGGGATGACTGAAAGCAGAAGGGTTTGATTGTGTTGGACATATACCCTGATGACATTACTGTAGTGGGTACCAATATTTATGGGGATTACTCTGAGAAAATGGCCCAGATGGACCAGGAGGATGGTTTCATGAGTTGGGGTAGAAGAGAGAGCCTTGATGGTCCCAATTCATTGTTTGGCATTGTTTGTATGATGACAAATCATCAAATAGACCATGTGATATACCATGTAGGCATTAGTAAGCACCTCACAGCATTTTAAACTTTGTTAAACTCAAAACTATGTAATCAAAACTTAAAGTCAAAAAACTGACTGCAGGACATGTCATTTTTAAATGGCTGCTATTCTATCAATTCCTATCCAAATTACTTGATTCATGGACCAATAGAAAGCCAAGAGTAAGTACCCTATTTCATACACTCATGGTTTAGGGCTGGGGTTAGGGGTTATTGCATTGAGTCATAACTAATGTAAAACATACAAACATGGGGTCAGTTTTTTGAGCCACTGTATATGTACCTGACTTCAAGGTAACTCTCATCTCTGTAAACAAGTTTGCAAAGTCTGGTCTATCTGCATACTTCCCAGGGGACTCAAATACCTGCTCCATATACCAGGGAAGGCAACCAGTCATGACTGGCACTCACTGGCAAAACCTCTACCATGCAAACATGACCCCAGTCATACCAGCTGAGAGTGCACATGCCACAGTTGACATAAACTTGCTGCACCAGTGAATGGGACACATTTCCACCAACTGGCTCCAGCACATGACAAGAGAGGGCCAACTCCCAGGCATTGACACTTTGACTGGAGAACCAGAGTTCCATGAGCCTTGTACAACAGCAAAAATGAAGAAACTGCTGTTCAAGCCCACCAAAGGTCCTCACACCACCTGACCTTTCTAAATGGTACACACTGATGTTGGAGGCCCCATCACACCAGCCTCCAGGGAGGGCTACCAGTATTGGGTGGTGATAGTTGATGACTTCACACATTTCCCTTGGGTATACCACAAAAGCAAAGCCACAAAGGTCTACCAGCAGTGGAGGTCAAACATCAAAACTTACTTCCAGCAGGAGTTAGGAGAGGAGTCATTCACCACTGAGACTTTTGAGTACCTCTGGAGTGACAATGGTGGAGAGTTCACTGGTGCAAAGTCCTGGGAACAGCTCCAGTCTGATGGTGTCCAGCATGAGACCTCAGCACCAGACACCCCAGTGCAAAATGGACTTGCAGAGCACATGAACCAGACTTTGTCAACCCTGGCAAACACCATGCTTGAGGAGTCAAAGCTGCCAAAGTCTTTCTGGGCTGACACCATCGCCACAGCAGCCTATATTACTGCACAAAGTCCAGCTGAAGGCATCAAAGGACAAACACTGTATGAAGTGGTCTTCAACTGACAAGTGGATCCAACCATCTTCTGGAGTTTTGGATGCCCAGCATATGCACTAATTCCAAGGGACCAGTGGCCAGGAAAGTTCTACCCACATGCCCAAAAGGTCATCATGATTGGTTACACCCATGGACAACAAGCCTACAAACTCCTGGACCTACAGAAACACACTGTGTTCTCTAGCTGGCATGTGAGGTTAATGAGTCTGGTTCCCTCAGCCTTCTGGAGTTAAGGCCATGGACACCAGACCCCACTGGTGAACAGTGGGAGGGCCTTCTCCCACCACAACTCCACTGACCAGACCCTGGTTCTCCTGAAGAAGAGGAGGATGACATCAACCTGCCTCCACAATTACCAGAGCCAGTGGGAGCAGTGGGAGGAGATCCACCACCCCCACATATCAACCCACCAGTCCCAGAGGAAATGAATCCAGACCCTGGTTCAGGTGGCCACCCTCATACACTGGAACTGCAAGTCCAGTTACCAGAACCCCAGACTCCACCACAGCAAATACCCTGACCACCCAGATCACCACCACCTTGCCCAACTAGGATGGTGGCTAGCACATGTTGGAGTGCAAGGGAGAAAAGGCCAGCAGACAGAAACTGAGATTACTAGTGGACCTTAGATGATGAAGCAGCATGCTGATGTAGGAATAGGTAAATAGCTTAACCTAGAAATAGTAATTAATCAGTGGGCAAGAATATTGGTCAACCCAAAAGGGAGATTCTATGGTGTAAAATATGCATATTTATTTCTCGTGGCTGCACTGCCACACCACCACACCCATTTGACCACATCATTACCTTTTGCAGCCACACAGCCACACCACTGTGCTCATTCAACTGCGTTTTTATGTGTTGTGGCTGTGCAACTGCATCGCCACACCCACTCGACCACATTGTTGTTACCTTGTGCAGCTACACAACTATGTTATTGTATAATACATAGATGATATTTCCTGTGTAAACTCAGTACAAACCCTACACAATATGTCTACTCTCTGCTGCCCTTCCCACTGTAGAAATATCTGTAGCCTACCTCAGTAGTGAACAAACTGCTGAGTGTATTACTGTACCTGTAGGCTACTACAGGATGTCAGTATAGTAGAATGCTTGTAATATAAACAGACTTACCCTCAGTAGTGAACAAACTACTGAGGGAATACTAGTAGAAAATACTACAAGTATGTGCACTATTTCAGGTTATGAAAGCAGCCAAAACATCGCACAGTGGTTAAGTACCACAGGGGCACTTTATGTTCCAACACCCACTTCCCTATGCATCACTTCTGATAATGGCAGGTGTGATAGGGGAAAAATAAAATAAAAAGCAGACAACTTTTTGATGTTTCTATCTGGCCACTGTGTCCTCTTTAAGGTGCCATATGTGCCTACAACATATTCAAAACTCATAAGCTGTGGTGGGGTACTTCAGGTACAGTGACACAATCTCAGCTGGAAAATCATTTCCTAGGCATTCTGGTGCTAAGACTGTAATTGTACATGGTATAGTAGTTCCACTGAGTATATTGGCGCATAATTAGACCTGCTATCAAGTATCCAAGGGTTCCACAATAGCTGGAAAGGATGTCAGGCTTAAACAAAGAAGTGTCTGCATTTCTGATACACCTGATGTGGGCACTCAAAAAAGGCACCCCCTTGGAGGGGGCCTCTGTACCTATAACATACCAATACCTCAGTACATCAGGTGGATTCCTTGAGGTGTTATGCCATAATCTCCTCCTTCTGGTATTTAGGAGCTTTGTCAAGTTCCAGGGTATTTATTGTCAATGTAACTATCTAGAAAGGTTTGGAATACTCAGAAGAGTCCCCTACAACATCCCCAAGTCCATACCTGCAGGGGGGAATACTGGGAAAGTGAAATAGTCACTCAGGAAGCATGTGAAAAGGCACAAAAAATTGTGCAGATTCTCAAAACATATCAAAAACATGTAATAGTACACTGCACCACTCAGTGGAAGGTAGACTCAAGATTTTCACATCAGGTGTCAAGTCCAGGGTGGCCAGGTTCAAGACTGGACTGGAGACTGGTGAGAGTGCAAGGCCAAGGAGTTGGGAACAGAGAGGGGGCAGCAGTTGGATGGTGGACTGATTGGACATAGTGACTGGAGACACAGTGCTATTCCCTTGCAGGGGTTGCAGTCTGAGTCTGAGGCTAAGATGAGAGTCCAGGACTGAAGAAGTACAGGCCAAGTATCTATGAGCTTATATACTAGAGGTAGCTATAGTTCAGAGATTGGTAATGCTGGTCTCACAATGATTGATAATATGATTGGTAAGAACAGTATTAGTAAGGCATGACAAAGGTGACCAGAGACTGGGAGAGAGATGAGGGTGGGCCAGGGATGAGGCTGGGTCAGGCTCAACCAAAATGACACTTCATAGTAACACTGCATTGTAGTGCCACCCACTGTGAGGAATCTGCATTCCCTAGATGTGTAAGCCCCTATTATCAACCATTCTGTGGCTATCATTATGTCTCCATACTGCTTTCACCCACCACTGTTCACATGCTACCTTTCCACACCCTTTCACCCTCACACACTGCTATACCTGTGGTTACTTTGTTCTGGTCATTTCCTTTCCTTCAGACTCTTTCTTTTACCATGGTCTGTGTCTATGCTGCCTGCCTTGCAAACCACTGTGCATGAACTATGTATACTGCTTGCATTGCCAGTACTACACTGTGGAACACAGTGCAAATGCCACAAAACACTACCACTTCAAAGTGCTGAATCCTGCCTTCTAGTTTCAACAGTCCAAAATCCTTTGAGACAAGCAATTCATTCCCTTCATTTTATTGTTGTTATCTAAACCAACTAGCTCATGTTATACAGCTACTTGGATTTTCCTTACACCACACTAGACCAACTGGGGGTAGAGGTTTGGCAAGGCTGAGGCCAGACTGGGTGAATGTGAGGCTGAGTCTGGCCAGGGTCAAGACATGGCTATGACATCAGGTATGACTTCATACTACATATAGCAACATAATTTAACTACTTGAGTCACCATTCCCTGTCCTCCTGGTGCATCAATTATGATAATTGCAGCATAACTGTGATGCAAGACTGCCTAACTCCCTCCTACCAGTAGTGATGCATCAATGTAATAGTAATGCAGATCTGAGATCTCCCCCCCCCTTAGGAGTTTCTTTTCCACAAATCCCCACAGGTAATTTTCATTACTCCTCTGCATTTTATGTGATTACATAAGCATAAAAACACTGTAGGGAGTTGTATACTCCCTGAGGCTGAAGCAGGATACCATCAGTTAATTCCACCACCTCTAAGGCAAGCCCCTATCAGTGTTACCCAGTTTGTTGCCTTTGGAACTCTCTCTGCTTGTCACCACATGTATTCTCCTATCCCCTGTCAGCTTCAGAATTTCCCCTGGCCATCAACATGCCATCCAGAGCCATCAGAACATTGATCTGCAATTCTGCAATTGTGTCACCCTAGCCACTGCCCCACCATGTTACCAGTCAGTCTTGTCAGATGTCAGTAAAAAACTCTGGTTACCCCTGTTGCCCCAAATTCTATAAACCTTACTTCACATTCATATGCTCTTCCCTTCAGCACCACTGCCTCTCCCTACAAACTTTGCCTTTTGCATCTCACACTGTAGTACATCAGTATATCACTTTTGCTGGCCAGAGCTGTCCAGAGCTGTCCAGCACTGGACAGATTCCTTAGGACTACCAGCTCACAAAGTGGTCTACTGATGTATGCAATACCCTCATCCTGTGGAAGATGCCCATCCTTCCCTTTGCCTCCCTTGTTTACTACTTACCAGTCCAATTTCATATGTTCCTGTACTTCATTGATGTCTGACATGTCCACCTTTATTTTCTGGGATTTTAGTTTACCCAACCCACTTTATTCTGACTAATACCTGATACCTATACCCCATGTACTATATAATTCCATCTTGATGTTGGAATATTTGTGAGTCTAAGAGTTCCCAGAGTCTAAAGAGTCTATTTCCTCTACAGTGTCTACAGCATCCTCAGTGCCTCCTGCATCCTCTGCATTCACAAGTCCCTACTTGCATAACCCTCATCTCAGAAATACTGCCAAAAAGTCAAGAACACTGTTTGGAATTTCATATACCCAGCTTCTCTGTGTCTCATGCACTTACTGCCCCCCAGAATTAAATTCTGCAACTTACACCTGACTACCTACTTGCCTCTACAGTCATATTCTACTCCCTTTCCCACTCAGCACCCCTTGGGACAAGCCTAGAGGATTCCCTTCAGCTTTCCCCTTAGTCACATGCTTCCCAGAAGTTGTGTCACACAATGCACAGCCACTATTCC